CCCCGCCCCCTCCGCCCCGCCGGCCAATCCGCCCGCCGCGCGCGCCCCGACGCCGGCTCCCGATTGGGCCAGCGCTCGCCGCCACGCCACAGCCCCTCCCTCCGCTCCTGTAAACAAACACAGCCCCGGGAGGGAGGGAGCAGCGAACCTCGCCCTTTCCCGATTGGATGGCGTCCCCCCCTCCCTCCTCTAGGCGGGCTCGCTGATTGGTCGTTCCCCGGGGGAGGCGGAGAAATCCGCCTGCCCGCGTAGATGGTTGGTCGGCTTTGCTGGGGGAAGGCGGAAAGGAGGGGAAGGCGCCTGGTGGTTGGGCCGCGCGGCGCGCAGAGGGCCGTTCTGATAGGAGGCTTCCGGGGGTCTCTGCGCGAGGACGGCGCCCGCCTGACCAATCGGGTCCCACCGCCAGAGCCATGCTTGGGTCGCAGGGAGTGCGCGCGCAGACGAGGGCTCATGCCCCGGGTTGAAACTTTGTTGGGCCCCTCCAGCCAACCAGAGAGCGGGGTGCTCGTTGGTTCTCCGCTGCAGGCCAATGGGAATGGACAGACCCGCCGGAACTGAGGCCTTTGGATCCTGAATCCCTCCCAGAGAGAGGCCCCCCCCTTCCTGCCCCTGATCATGGGGTGGGGGGCTGTGAAGGCTCCCTGTGAACCCCCCCCAGACCTGCAGCTCTCGGGCTTCCTCCGGGCAGCGAAGTCACCTCACAACTCTCCTCCTCCTCCTCCTCCACCATCATGCACACTCTGGAGAGAGAGATTCGGGGAGCAGCCACCGATTGCCTGGTTCACATTCTGGGTCCCTCCTGGCCCTTTTGGCGCTTCCGCTGTTACCGAGCGGGTGGGCTGCCTCTTAACATAAGAGAACGTGAGAGAAGCCCATGTTGGATCAGGCCAGTGGCCCATCCCAGTCCAACACTCTGTCTGTCACCCAGTGGCCAGAAATCCCAGGGGCCCTCAGGAGGTCCAGCAGTGGGGCCAGGACACTGGAAGCCCCCTCCCACTGTTGCCCCCCCACCCCAAAGCACCAAGAAGACAGAGCATCCCTTGCCCCAGACCGAGAGTTCCTATCTATACCTTGTGGCTAAGAGCCCCTGATGGACCTCTGCTCTTAACATAAGAACGTAAGAGAAGCCAATGCTGGGTCAGGCCAATGGCCCATCCAGTCCCACACTCTTCTGGGTCACACAGGGGCCCAGAAATACCAGGGGCCCTCAGGAGGTCCGGCAGTGGGGCCAGGAGGACACCAGGAGCCCCTCCCACTGTTGACACACACACCCCCAAGCACCAAGAAGACCGAGCCTCCCTTGCCTCTTCTCAGGGGTCCTCTAAACCAGCCCCATAGGACCCCCCTCTCTAGATATTGGCTGGCAAGCCTCCCTCCCGTGGATGCCGCCAGCGGGTCTCGCGTGTGAGGGGAGGCGGGCAGGGCAGGGGCACCAAAAGCCCTCCTTGCCCCCACAGGGAGGAACTGGTCAAAAAAGCCAACACCCCCGGAAGTGGTGCTCTTGGGTCCCTTTGTGTGCCGGGGGGGGGGGAGGGGCGCAGGGATTGTTCTTCTCACCCAGGGGCCAAGCGGCTCCTCTGGAGAGCCAAGAAAGAGGGCCCAGGAACACACGAAGAGGGCCCTGCTGGGCCAGACCAGGGAGGGACCCTCCAGCCCAGCCTCCCGCCTCCACACCGGGGCCAGCCAGTCCCTCCGGAGGGGGCCCGCCACAGGGCAGCGTGGCCGAGGGGGCCTCTTCCTGGCGGCGGGGCTGCCTTGCCATCAGGGTTCCCTCCAAGCGGAGCGAGGGTGAGCCGGCTCACAGTTTCTCAGCCCCCGGCTCACACAGGTCCCTCGTGGCTCAGGCAGGGACGGGCTCCAGGGCAGACGAACGGATGCCGGACAGCCCAGTCGCGGGCTCACGGCTTTCGTGCCAGGAGCTCCCAAACAAAGGAGGGCTCTTGCTCCCAAGGCTCCACAGCTGAGAGGGAGCCTCGGCTGAGACTCGCAGGGTCCCCTCTAAGCTGAGTTGGTGTGAGCTGGCTCACGGGTTTCTCGCCGCCTCCAACACGCTCGTTTTCGTCTTGGCTCAGGCAGGGATGGGCTCCAGAGCAGACGAGCGGATGCCGGACAGCCCAGTCGCGGGCTCTCGTGCCAGGAGCTCCCAAAGGGTTAGGGCTCTTGCTCGTGTGTGGACTCTTCACCATAGGGTTGCCAAGCAGTGTTCCCTCTAAGCTGTGGAGTCTTGTGAGCAAGAATTCTATAGTGTGAGCTCCTGGCATTAAAATTGTGAGTGAGCAATTTGGCTGCGGCATCAATTAGTTTGCTCCGGAGCCGTCCTTCCTGAGCTAAGACAAACATGTGTGAGCTGGAGGCTAAAAAACTGTGAGCCAGCTCACACTAACTCAGCTTAGAGGGAATACTGTTGCCAAGTACTTGCCTCGAATTGGCGGGGGACACACGGTTTCTGGCGGGAACATTTCTGTGTGTGAGACACGCACACGTGCTACAATGCTGTCACCCAGACGTGACGTCAGCACGCTGGGCACGCAGCCGGGCGACGCTCTGGCAATTGGGCTGAAAACTCGATGGTGCTGACGTCACGTCTGGGCGACAGCATTCTGGCTCGTGGTGGTTTTCCAAGTGGGACTGTTCCTGCCAGGAACTATGTGTCTTCCACCAATTCGAGGTAAGTACTTGGCAGCCCTACTTCACCAGCACAACACAAGCAGACAATTTGGCCTCGGGTGCAGAATTCAGCATGTCAAGCATTCTCTTCTTTTTTAAAGTTGTGTTTCTTGCCCTTCAGGCTATCAGGATAGGGCTGGAAAAGACAATGCCTCTTCAGGCCCATAGCCAGGATTCTTTTAATGGGGGGGCTTTAAATAAGTCAGGGGCACACCACCACCCCCAAGGCTGCACAAGGGAGCGCCTGGGCCGGATGGGAAGTCAGGGGGCCGGGCCCCGAGATGCCCCCCTGTAGGCATGGGGGGGGGCCTCGTGTTCAGCTGCAGGCCCCCCTCTTTCTTTCCCCCTCCCGCAGGCTCCTCCTCCTCCTCCTCCGCGCACGCCTTGCGCTACTTCTTCACGGGGGTTTCGGAGCCGGGGCAGGGGCTGCCCGAGTTCATCATCGTGGGCTACCTGGACGACCAGCGCTTCGTGCAGTACGACAGCCACACCAGGCGGGACCTGCCCCAGACCCCCTGGATCGAGGAGGCCGAGAAGGACGACCCCTACTACTGGGACTGGCAGACCCACCTCTCCCGCAACTGGGAGCTCTTCTTCCGCGTCAGCCTCTGGAGCCGCCACAACGACAGCCACGGTGAGGGGCCGGGCAGTGGGGGGGGCTTCCTCCCAGGGGAGGAGCTCTTTGGGACCCAGCCTTTCCCACACCTGTCACTTGGCCTGCCTGGAGAAGGGCAGAGGGAGGAAGAGACACATGAAGCTGCCTGATAGGGAATCAGACGCCTCCCCCCCACCCCCCACCCGTTCATCAGAGTCAGTATTGCAGACTCGGGCAGGCAGCTGCTCTCCAGGGTCTCAGGCGGAGGCCTTTCCCCTCTCCTCCTGCCTGATTCCCTTTCAACTGGAGATGCTGCTGGGGATGGAACCTGGGACCCTCTGCGTGCCAAGCAGAGGCTCTGCTAGGGAGCCACAGCCCCCGGTGGACTTTCTGCAGCGGCTAGCTGGACTGGTGATTTGCTTTCCATACCTACCTACCTACCTACCTATCTAGCATACAATGGAGCAGGGGAGGGGAGGGGAATGTCTCTGGAGTGCAGCAAAGGCTCTGCCTGCCCTGCCCACAAAGGGTGACTTTGGGGGGGGGGATTGTAGGGGGCGTGGCCCCAGCTCAGCCGGTGAAGGGGTGATGGGGAACAGGAGGAGGTGGCCCTCCAGGAGAGCCCTGCTCCGCAATGCAGGCGGCGACTTCCCTCTGCTCCAGCTGCCTGGGAGGAGGGTAGGGGCGTGTGTGTGTTGTTGTGAAGTGTTGTGCCTGAACTGCTGGGGAAACAGGTCTGGCTCATGAAGAGACTCTTTGTGTAGGAGTCAGCTTGTCACGGTTGGGATCGTTTGACAACATAAGAAAAACAGGTTTCCGTTTGTGCCGCTTGCGAAAGCCTCTGTTAGTGCCGTGAAGAGCTTTGATCTTGCCGCTGAGCTTCTGTGCCCCCCCCCCCCAACTTCTCCCTCCCGCTCCTATTCTCATTGTGACTGCAGGGGGAGGGAGCGCAGGCCCCCTCTTCCTGGGGCAGGTGGGTGAGGGGGGAGAGCTGACTTTACCCCACTGCGGCGCTCTCTCTCTCTCTCTTCCAGGGCTGCACACCTGGCAGTGGATGCACGGATGTGAACTCTCCAAGGAGGGGCGCAAAAGGGGCTACTCCCAGTTTGCCTACGATGGGAAGGACTACCTCAGCCTGGACAAAGAGACCCTCACCTGGACGGCCACCGACAGCCGGGCCCAGGTGACCAAGCGGAGGTGGGACACGGACCGGGTCTGGACCGAAGGGCGCAGGAATTTCGTGGAGGGGCGCTGCGTGGAATGGCTGCAGAAGTACCTGGACTACGGGAAGGAGACCCTGCTGAGGAGAGGTGAGGAGGTGGGGTGCTGGTGGGGAGCAGGACTGAACCACAGTGTGACACTCTGGGGCCAGTGCTCCCTCTAAGCTGTAGAGTCCTGTGAGCAAAAATCCTACTTTGTGAGCTCCTAGCTTTAAAGTTGTGAGCGAACCATTTGGCCGCTGCATCCATTAGCTTGCTCTGGAGCCCCATCCCTTCCTGAGCAGAGACAAAAACGTGTGAGCCAGAGGCTAAGAAACTGTGAGCTGGCTCACACTCACTCAGCTTAGAGGGAACACTGATGTCAGGGGGTGTGTGTGGAAGCTCCTGGGGCTCTCTCTCCACCCAGGCTGCAGCTCGGGAAAGGCGAAGAAATAGCATTCTAGTTTGTCACCCCAGATTTGGGGGGGGGGCGCGAGGAGGGGAGAGTCTTCAGATGGAGAACTCACACCCCAGGGACAAAGCTAAGCAGCAACTTTCCTCTTGCATCCACCCCGGCTTCCTAGTTGGATGGACTTTTTAAAGAAAGAATGGATTCAAACACACTGCAAAATTCAAGCACGCAACTTCTCCCCAGCCAGCACCCCAGGCTGGTACAGTCCGAGACCTGCTCCGGCTGAATTCCGGGCAGGGCAGGCTACATACCACGGCTCTCAGCCGCTTGGACAGTTCCAGCCCGAGGGCGAGGCAGGAGGAGATGGCAGAAGAGGAGGAGGAGGAGGAGGGAAGGGCAGACTGAAACCTGCCCCCTACAACCCCCCACCCCCATCACCCTTTGTGGGCAGGGCCAGGCGGAGCCTTTGCTGCTCTCCAGAGACATTCCCCCCCCACACACACACACACCCTTCCCATCAAAGGATGGCCAGGAGAGGGAGGCCGGCGGGGGCTGGGTCCCTTGGGCCACTCACAGACCTGCTCGTGGTGGTCTCCTCAGTGCTGCCCGCTCTCAAAGCCGACCCGTGGTTCGTGGCTGGCCGTTCCCCTCCTGGGCGTGCTGCAGAGGGAGGCCTGGCACTGCAGGCCCGTAGCCAGGGATTTTTAATTTGGGGGGGCCTTTAAATAAGTCGGGGGGCACCCACACCCACACACACCCCTGCACGCACACTCCCCAAGGGAGCGCCTGGGGGGGCCCTTGGCGGTGAGTCAGGGGGCCAGGCCCCAAGGTGCCCCACTGTAGTTACAGGCCCACATGGCAGCGGGTGCCCCTGGGGAGCCCCTCGGCCCCTGCTGGACTGCTGCCCCCAGAAAGGGACCGCGTGCCGATGGCTGCTGTCGCCCCCCCAGAGCCTCCCGTGGTGCGGGTGGGGCGCCGGGTGGCCCACGACGGCCTGGAGCGCCTCGTCTGCCGGGCCTACGGCTTCTACCCCAGGGAGATCGATGCCGTCTGGAAGAAGGACGGGGAGGTCTGGTGGCAGGATGCCTTCCACGGGGGAGTGGTCCCCAACGCGGACGGGACGTACCACACCTGGATCAGCGTGACCATCGATCCCAAGGACCGGGCCCGCTATCGGTGCCACGTGGAACACGACAGCCTGCCGGAGCCCGTGGAGCTGGCCTGGGAGGAAGCTGGTGAGAGACTGGTGTGTGTGTGTGTGTGTGGGGGTCACCTTCGGAGGGCGTCCTGCTCCAGGGCATCTGGCTTCCAACAGCAGTGGCCACTTTGCTTGAGGGTATATTTGAGGGATTTCCCCCTGCGTTGGAGGCAGATGCGGGGGAGCCTCGGGCAGTGAAGAGAGACAGGCAGAGTTATTCCGTAAAAGGGCGGCCAGGGGGTGGTGGGGGGTAAGTTTCCCTGGAGTCCCAGTTTTACTGTCCTGGCTTTGGGGGAGAAGCACCATGCAAAAGCTCAAGCTCCCTCTCTGCTGCTGCTGCTGCTGTACTTCTGTACTTCTATGCTAAATCACAGCAACTTGACAACTGTATGAAAATGCAAGCACCAGCAAGAAACGTGGCACTGTCTAAAAACTGTTCAGTTCGGTTATCTGTAACAGAAGGTATTTGAGCAAAGTTTGAGTCCGGTGGCACCTTTAAGACCACCGAAGTTTTATTGCCCTGGCCCCACTGCTGGACCCCCTGAGGGCCCCTGGTATTTTTGGCCACTGTGTGACCCAGAGTGTTGGACTGGAGGGGCCATTGGCCTGATCCCACATGGGCTTATCTTGTGTTCTTATGAGCTTCCGTGTGCATGCACGAAATCTGAGGAAGGGTGCGCGCGCACAGAAGCTCATAACGTTGAATAAAACTTTTATTTGTCTTAAAGGTGCCGCCAGTCTCAAACGTGGTTCTCTTGCTTCAGACCAACCCGGCTACACACCAGAAAGTGTTTGAGCTGTTCTTTCGAGCCAGGGAAGCCCTTTGGGAAGGGTTGTGGTGTGCGGGATCTCTAATACTGGGGCCACTGCAGAGAAAGCCCTGCTTCACACACTCCACAATTTCAAAACTGGCACCAGTTCTCTGGGGGGGGGGGGCCTTCCCCCCATCCCGGCAGTCCTTCCCAGCAGCTGCAGGGCCTGATCCAGGAGGAGAAGTGAGCGTACACTCTCTGCAGTAGCCCGACTAAGGCCTCGCCCACCTCCATCTCTCGGGCACAGAACAGCAGGGAGCATCACGCCACAGTCCCTCCCTCCCACCCACCCACCCCGTTGTTCCTTTTCCTGTTTCAGCCTCTGTGTGGCCGATCGTGGGTGGCATCGTGGGGGCTGCAGCTGTTGTTCTGCTGGCAGTCGGGATCGTCTTCCTAAACCCTGAACGTCTGGGTCTGGGCGGCTGGGCCTGTGGGGGATTTCCCCACAAGCCCCCCCCCTTTGGAAGTGGGTTTTGGCCCACCAGCTGGGCAGGGCCTGGTGTCAACGTAGCCTCAACCCCCCGCCCCAAAGTCGCACGTAATTATCGGCACCCGAAATTTACAGCAAACGTGTATTCTCAGGAAGCCGGGATGTACCCGCGGGTCCCCTAGTCTGGCGTCCCAAACACACTCTCTTAGCATCAAGTTCCATGAGCTTTGGTGGGATCAGTCCCACCCTTGAATATCAGTTCCTGTTGGGGGAGGGCCGTCACCCTCTGGGGCCCTGGTCGGCTTCGGCCTCCTGCGGCAGGCTGTGCTGTTCTGCCTTCGTAAGGGGGCGCGAGACAGAGCAGGGGGCTCTTCCCTTGTGGGGATGCAGGTGGGGCCCGGGCTTTCCTGCTCCCCTCCCTCCTCCTCCTCCAAGGCTGCCTGTCCTCTCTGCTCCCCCGTGCTGGTTCCCCCCCTGCCAGGCGGAGTTTCCCCTCCAGCTTTGCTCTCAAGAGAAGGGGGGGGTGGCAGGGCCCCAGGGGCGTGTTGCTACCTGGAAAGATGCCCTGGCTGTAGCCAGTGTTCCCTCTCAGCTGAGTGAGTGTGAGCTACCTCACCGCTTTCTAGCCTCCGGCTCACACCTTTTTGTCTCGGCTCAGGAAGGGTGGGGCTCCAGAGCAAACCGGTTGATGCAGCAGCCCAATCGCTGGCTCACAACTTCAATGCCGGTAGCTCACAGAGTAGAATCTTTGCTCAGAAGACTCCAGGGGCTTAGAGAGGGAGCGTTGGCTGTAGCCACCCTTGCCTGGGAGGCCGTCTTGCTCTCCTCCCCTTCCCGGGAGAAGAGTCTGGAGGAGGAGCCGCTGCCGGGCAGGGCTCAGGGCCTCACGGCAGGGGAGGGGAGCAGGTGACCTGGGGAGGGCTCTGCCCCCACCCTGACTTGCGGATTCTGTCTCTGCAGAGAAGAAACGAGAGGAGGCCTACGCAGCAGCACCAGGTGAGTGGCGACTGCCTGTCTGAAAGGGCAGCACCGGCGGGGGGACGGGGTCTACGCGGGGGGGGGGGGGTCTAGTCCAGATGCTTGTCCCCGCCTGCCGCTGGGTGTGGATTGTCCTCAGAGCCGCCCAGTCCGTGGGCCCTGCTTGGCGGAGGAGTGCTCTCACGTTCTTCATCAGAAAATGGAAGAGTTTGAAAACCGCTCCGGACGCAGCTGGCCAAGGAGCAGAGCTGTGAGACGTGGGGGGGGGGGGGGGGGAGGGGGGGGGGGGGGAGAGGAGGGAGGCAGAGGAAAGAGAGATCAGCTTGTGGACCAGGCCGGGGCCGGGGAGAGAGGCAGAGAGAACATTGCAGGGCTGGCCTCGGTTTGATCTGATGCACTCCTGTGTGGGATGCCTGAGGAGGACCCCTTCCCAGCCCAGTTTGGCCCAGGGCTTCAGTCCACCTCTGAGAGAGGGAAAGCGTGACCAGGAGGAGGGGGCGCCCCCCC